AGCGAGCTCTTTCCCTCACATTGGCTCTGGAGCTCTCTGAACCCTTTGAGAGGCAGTTTAATTTATTGAGATACCAAAATTTTATTTCCAGTCATTTTTGCTGAGTTTGGTCTTATGCTGTCACGTAACTGTGCCCTGCAGTAGCTGTATTTTCCCTGGCTGAAGCTCAGCCATACTATGAGTGCCGGGGACCGGGCCGGTGTCGTGCCAGGGGTTGCAGTTCCCACCGGCACCGCTGGAATTAGCTTGCTGATCGTTGGCGTCAGCCTGGGAATGGAGTAGGGATGGGGAAATTGATGTATAAGCTTCAACCGCTCTGCTGCAGTGAGTGAGACTTGTTGAACGAAAGACTCTGACAAAAACCAAGTGACGCGTTGGTATGTAGGGCTGCAGCAGAACCAAGGTGTTAATGACGTGCCGGCTAGGACGAGTAAGTGGGATCTGAGGCAATGTTGCACTCTTGCGTCATGTTTGTTGGGTACGGGCAAGGGGAATGAAGGTTTTATGTTATAGTATTTCCATATGGAGCTACTGTTATGCATGGAATTATACTAACATTTGTGATGAGTGTGGAAGGCTAAACAGCATTAGATGCTTCTGCAGTTCCTTGTCACTTCCCTTTCTAAAAATACAGTAACAAGAATATGGGGGGGGGGGGGGGGGAAGCAGGCGACATTACTGAAATATGGATTCTGTAATTCTTACAGGGTGTGAAGGATGATTTTTTTATATGATTACAATATACAAGTGTGAATTGGATCCTTCTCAAAGCAAGGAATTAATTATGTTGCCCACAAGTTGAAATAACAGGAGGGAGCCCCACACAATCCTCCCATTGTGCTGCCAGTGCACCTGCACAATGTCTTCTGTTCCCCTTCCAGGCTTCTTTTAGGCAATGCTTATTTGTCTCTTGTACAGCTTGTAGTAAGATAGAAGTTGCCAATAAGCATCAGAGTAGATGATATCTTGTCTTTTAACACTGACAAGATATGGAAGTATCATGGTGAGTAAAGGTGGGGTAACCTCGCTCTCGTAGAGATGTTTATCCTGTCTCTATTTGCCTTCCAGAGTTCTGGGTCACTGTTAATTTTATAACTTGAAATCCCCAACCTTTATTGAGCAGCGGTAGGGTTTTGGAATTTGCATTTCCTTGCTGTGAAGAGTTATGTGTCTTTTTCCTTTCTATCATCTCCTCCAACATGAATCCTCTCTAATTTCATTGAGTGATTGGCTATTCTCACGTTACATGAAACAGAGCACAGAAAGACTGTCTTTTCTCTGTGCCATATCATTATTTTGTATAATTGCATTATGTCTCCTGTAATCTCTCCTTTGTAAGGTAAATAGTCACAGTCTTTTCTGTCTCTTCTCATATTAAAATTTATCCAAATCCTTTATTATGCCTGCTACTATTATTGTCTGAACCCCCTCTAATATTGGAGCATCCATTTTTTGAGATGCTGTTACCGGTGCAGCATGTGGCACGGCAGAGATAATGCTGATCTACATTAGATCAATGTTACTTCCCCATTAGTCACCATTTTATTCCTCATTTATCCTAATATTTTCTTAACTACAATTAAGAATTTAATTTAGAAGAGTGGTCTTCCTTGAGAAGTGTTCTGTGACCCTGAGGTGTCTTTACTGAATTGATGAAGTTTGCTTTAAGAGGTGTTAGAGCATGTGTAATTACATTTTTTCTCTCTAGTACATGCTGCTTTTAATGTTGAGCTTGTCACGATACTGTCTTTTTTTTAGGTTTATGTTGATATTCATCACTCTCATTTCTGGTCTTTCCTGACTCAAACAATTGTGTGTTGCCTACAGACTTAACCACCTCATTGCTCATCTTTTCCAGATCAAGAATAAATGTAGTAAACAACACAGAACTGAGTTTACCAAACTTTTTTCCTGATGTTAAAAAAACCCCAATGATTTACAGGCTTCAGTTAGACTACTCAGATGATTTGCTAAATTCTTTTTGTTTAGATTTCCATGGGTAAAAAACCTAGATTGCTGCTACTTTTTCATACAAAAACCACCAGAACAAAACTAAAGCTCTACCAAATTGTCTTACAGACCCTGTCCAGAAGAATTTCAAATCCTTATTTGGAAACTCCTGCAAACAAGGTACTTGTCAAGCTTCTTTTTAATTCCATTTTATCAAACAAGATATTAGGAATCTTTTTGCTTTGGTTCAACCTCTTAATCATAGCTTTGAAGACACTTGTGAATGTGGCCTGCAGTTAAATCCAGTTACCAAGTTATAATGTGTGTGTTAGAAATTGTCTACTCCTATTACTGAATTTGCAAACTGAATTGTGAATTCCAACATGCACTCACTTCCCAGCTGTTTACATGATTGCCACTGTTAGCCTGGTTTTGCAGTATTTGAGAGCTCTATTTTTGCATCTCACGAGACTTTACTGTCTCAGGACTATTTTTTATTCCTTGAAAGATTCCCAAACATAGGAAACAAAACGAAAAAAAAAACCCAGGTGAAACCGTGGCATTGTTTTTCTTTCAAGTTAGTTATTTGTGTTACTGATGTGTTTTGCTGGGATGGTGAGGAAACATCACAACAGAAGCCTGAGTTAAATTCACCAGTAAGAAGTAGTACACAGATTCCAGGTGGAACATGATTTTATGGGAGATGGAGTTGGGTCCTGGTTTGATAGATGCATCTGCAGCCTTGAGGTGTCAGGTGGAAATCAGGTGTGGGGGAAGTCAGAGGTGTGTCCATTCTGAAAGACCACATCCTCCTGGCAAAGTACGGATGGACTGACCTGTAGCTATCATAGGATACTGCCAAAGTTTCTGAACAGAAAGAAAAAAAACCTGTGAAATGATGTTTCAATGTGTATTAGGCTTGTATTAAATTATTTAACTCAAATACAGGTGGAATAATATTCAATTTTAACTGTATTTGTGTGGCTGTGCAACGGTTAATATAATCTTTTTGTTTTCACTTGTTTCATTTGAACTTGTTTGTTGTTCAAAGATAAAACTCACAGTTAGTAAACCCTCTGCTTTTCTAAGGCAGTAAATGTAAAAGCAGTCCAGCCCGTGGCGGCGTCTGCAACCCATGATACGACTGGGTATGGCAGAAATCGGGGTGCATTTCCTATGAGGCTTTGACTGCTTGCTTGTCCTTTAGCTGGGGAGCAGGCATTGCTCAGAGGGAAGGAGCGGACAGTGGCGAGGCAATTTACTAC